TTTGGTACAGGGACCTTCCGGTTTCCGGATCCACAGAGGAACCGACTAATTCGGAGTCGAGCCGAGTAGGACCACAAGGGCGGCAAAGCTCTCCCTCAAGATAAGTCAGGAAGTTTTAAAACTAAATGGAGATCATTTTGTAATTTTGGAATTTATTGTCAACTACAACTTTAATGGAATTTGTTTACAAATAGGTTAATTGCATTTATAATTCCTAACATTTTGTTTAATTGCAAATAAAATTAAACTTTTTTCAATTTAAAAAAAAAAAATACCAAACATTTAATAAGTATTCCAATTGAGTCTCAAAATCAGTTTCCGGCCAAGGCACGCCGAAAAACTAGCTCAGGGCGGCTGTGCACAAAGGGGAAGCATAATGAAGGAGGTCGCTGGAAGTCGAGCTCGCGACTGGGGGAAGCTCGCCAGAGAGAGAACGTCGTGGAGGTCGGCGTTGGGGAGAGAACGTCGTGGGGGTCGGCCAGAAATTTTCGAAGAAGGTGACGGGAAAAGTCGTCACCGGAAAAAAGTCACCGGTTCCCGCGAAGGTGGAAGTCACTAGATGCGGCTTTGCGAGAGGATTTCAACGGTACCTTCGAATTCACATGGGTCAAAGCGAGTCGCCGGGAATTTGCAAAAGAACGCCGGAGAAAATTTGTAGATCTACGAGCTTTGACCGGAAAATTGAAAGCATTATTGTCGAAATTTTTTCGTGATACTCGGATATGTTTTCAGCACGGAGGAGAGCTACAAGATCATGTAAAAAATTTCAACATTGGGTGAAGTTGGCCGACGGCGGAAGGTGATTGGCGTCGAAAATTGATTGAGACACAATTGCAATACTTATTAAAGGTTTGATGTTTTTTTGGGAAAAAATTGAGTTTTATTGCAATTGAGCAAAATGTTGTAATTTTAGATGCAATTAACCCTTACAAATATGAAGAGTTATGCATTTTTCCAATATGTGGACACAATTATTGTACACATGTTGTTAATAAAAAATAGAATAATTTATACTTTTATCTAATATTAGCGTCATCATTTAATTTATACTTTTATCTAAGTTGCGCAACTAACAAATGTCATTCTAAAATATATAATAACATACATTTTTTTTTTGTAAGAAAGTAAATAATATTTAAAGTAATGTTTCTTAATTTAAAAAATTTAAGAATAATTTAATAAACACCCGTGTAATAATGGGTGTTGTACTAGTGAAAGGTTATGGGTGAAAAAAATATTGGTAACAAAAGATAGTGTAAAGACTAGTATTTTTAATATAAATTGATTTGATATAAATAGTAAATTTTAATAATTCATTATGTATGATAAATGAATAGTAAAATAATGTGAAATAACGAATTAATAATTATAAAAAGTTGAATGTTTATATTATGTTTTATAGATAAATGTATAGTGATATTTAATTTTAACTTAAAAATTAAATTGCAAGATATGAGTCAAAAAATATAGAGAAAAATAAAATGAAAGAAGAATGTATTGTTTGCCATATAAACTAATATAATAATAAAAATTAAGTAATAGTGATATAATAAAAAAAAAAAATGAAATAATTTATATTTTCAAATCCCCCATAGTTGAAATCGAGCTACTCCTTCAATCTTCTTCTTCCTCACTTTCTGATTTTTCGTGCTCTTCTCCGCACAGTAGAAAAGGGGAAATCAAAATGGGCAGCAGCTCTTCCATGCTAACTCAGTACGACATAGAAGAGGTCCAAGAGCACTGCAGCAACACCTGTAAGCAACCCTACATTCTCCGATTTCTTCGCAATCGATGTTCTTTTTCGTAACTTTTAAGATTCTGTGTATTTTGGGGTGTGCGATTGTAGTTTCGCAGCAAGAGATCGTGTCACTGTACCAGAGGTTCTGCCAGCTGGATCGGAATGGCTGCGGATTCATCTCCGCCGACGAGGTCATGACCGTGCCGGAATTCGCCGTCAATCCCCTTTCTCAGGTTTGTCCTATAACCACTGTGTTCTCTCTGTGAATATGAGTGTCGTTCCATCATGAAGACTGGTGACGTGTTTTTGGGATCGATTTGATTGTGAATTAATGCAGCCTTGCGTTTTGTGAGAATGTGAATCTGGCATTTTGTGTTCTTTACCCTTTTATGTCTGTGCACCAAATGCTATTTGTGAGACATCTGGTTCAGAATTGATATTGATGGAGAGATTGAGTGGGTAATAGGGTGATGGGCATGAATTACACACTGCTTTAGCTATTCAATTTGTTGGTATTTAATCCAAAGGTAGTTTGGAGATCACGGTGGGACTTTCCCTAGTGTCCTTATCAATTAGTTCTTGCAAAAGTCAAGAGTCGTGTTAAATTCTCGAGTTTGAAAATAATGGTTGGTGTTGTGAATTACAGTTTGTTATGCTGTGAGCGAAATTGATTATGCCTTTCGTTCGAGCCGAAGCGATGTAAAGCTTTTGTTGCAAAACTTGTTGGCTTGTTTTGTTAAATGCACTCATGCATAATGGGGAGTTTGATGAGAACAAGAATTTAACTATTTATGTCCGTATTCACTGGACCTGCATGTACAGTTATATGCAATAGGAACTAGAAAATGTATACAAGGGGAGGAAGAGTTAGTTGTTTTTTTCTTTCAGTAAATTTTCAGGTATTCTGTTCAATTTACCTTTTCCATTTCTCTTTCTTTGTTTCTGTGGAGGGGGGGTGGGTTGCACCCCTCGGTCCTCTCCCCTGAAGCTATAACCATTGCCGTTCAGGGCGTCATATGAATGAAGAATTTATGTTAAAGTACGGTAACTGAAATGTAATAAAATGTAAAAAATCAGCAGTCTGCCTGTTATATTGTTAACCTGGCCATATGATGCTCTCTATACTTAATGAATGCTAGCTATAATCTCTTTTGTTTCTCCAGAGACTGTTTCGGATGCTGGATGGACTAAATTTCAAGGAATTTGTAGCATTTCTATCTGCTTTCAGCTCTCGAGCAACGTTGCAGCAGAAAGTTGAATGTATGACAAGGAAGGCTATGATTTACATTACTATGCTCTGCCTGGAGTTCCCAGTTTATTTTTCTTTTCTGGCTATGTTGAATACAAATTCCTTTTCTCAGTTATTTTTAAGGTTTACGACTCTGATGGTAATGGAAAAGTTACTTTCAATGAAATGCTGGACATATTGCGGGACCTGACAGGTCAATTCATATCTGAACAACAAAGAGAGGTTAGTTCTCATGGAACTTTCATTTTTCATTTGTTATTAGAATGTTGGAACCTGCACATACCTTTGAGATTACCAGTATATATTTATCCCCTATAACTAGTATGCACATCTGAAACTTTTTATATCATGTTTTCCTTTCAATTGTGGTGCAAGTGGTAAAACCATCATTAAATTTTGTGATGGTCTGCTTTCTTGTGAAGTGTTATTTTTCATGTTATTGCTTATCCAGAGTTATTTGATGTTATTATTACTAGTTCACGTTTTACTGGTTGTGAATTTTTTCAAATAGAAAGTTCTCACTCAAGTTCTTGAGGAAGCAGGCTACGGAAAGGATTCTCTATTAGTTCAAAGTGACTTCATGAAGGTAGTTTCAATTCTGCCCCTTGAATCTACGGACGGTCACTTTACCTTGATGGAATTTGAATCATACTCGTTGTCTTTTGTTGTTGCTTTCGGACTTCTTACTTACTCTTGAATATGACCTTATGTGGACCTTGTAACATGTGGAAGTTAATTAGGGCGTGCTTGATACAAATATATCCGCTTGAAACGGATTTTTTTGTTAACCAGGGTTAATTTGGAAAAAAAGGTGGTATGGGTAGTTGTTGGTGGGTTTTGAGTTTATAGTAAAATAATATTTTAAAAAATAATTTAAGTTGATTTGATGTAAAAATAGAAGAGAGATGATGTGAAGTGATGTTAGTTAAAATTATGTGTGGATGAATAGTTAGTTAAAGTCAATGTGATGTGTAACGGTTGATATTATTTAATTAATTATATTGATAAAAAAAAGGATAGTGGGGTTGAGTTAAAGTTGGATTTGATTTTAAGTATGGATTTAAAGTTTTTGTAAACAAACGCCCCCTTATATTTTCACTTTTCATGTGCACCAGTCATCTATAAAAGTTAATATACACGTAGTACTCGAGCACCTGACATTTTTGGTAAAATCTTATGAATGGGTTGATATCTGCACTCCAAATTTTCCATTGCAGTCCATTTATTTCGCGCATTTTTTGTAAATACATTGCTTGTAGATGTCATCCCCAAAGAAAAAGGACAAATGGGAATAACAATTGAGACAAAGTGTGAAAGATTGATGAAGTTCATAAGCCTCCCTTCTTTCTAATCATATATATTCTTCTCCTAGTTATCAGTTAAAAAACAGGAAAAACTCGAGAAGAAGTGCGTGATTGTCATTAAAGTACACTAATCAGCCTCCCTGCTTTATGATTGTATATTTTCTTCTCCTTGGTTAGAGTTATCAGCTTTTGATCTTTTGTTTTCAGTCTTCACATGTTGAATTAGTCTTACTGAAGTAGATTCAAATGTGATTTTCTCTTCATCTCAGAAATAACAAATCTTTCTCACATTTTACTTGCAGATTCTTGGCAGTTCGGGTTTGAAGATGGAAGTTGAAGTTCCAGTAGACTAGAGGAAAATATGAAATCGAGTAGCTGACATGATTTTGTTTCACTTTATTGTAGCTTGTTTGTTACTCTTTGTGCATCTCGTAGATGGCTACATTTTGTTCCCAACATGTATTTTTTTTTTCTTTTGTCGAAATGATAGAATTCATTAATAATACATATTTACAAGCTGCGGCTAAGTAGTCGAATGTACCAGCTAAAAAGCTGAATTTTGATCAAAGGTAACTTAAATACCACAAAACAACACAAAACGATTTTGATGCAGCCAGCGAACATTTTCGCTAGAGTCTCCCAATCATCTGTCCGGCGGAGATACTCTGTTGGAGGCCATTTTCGCTAGACCTGGAAAATCTAGTGACAAGATTAAGCTAGATTTAGATTCAAATAACGTTGTTATTACTCAACAAAACTAAGATTTTTTATTTTTTTTTTCCTGATGACTTTTGAAATTCTTTATTCTGTCGAAATTTGAGAAATTTGGTTTGGTTACCGTCCTGAATTCTTATATGAATTCATGAGTAATGCTAGGGATGTCTTCGTATGTTTTTAAAGTGGGTTAAAAATCTTTTATAAGCACAAATATCAATCCTAAAGCATTATGCATGCAAGATTCGTAATAATTTTTTTTTTTTTTTTTTTT